CGCCTATAGCCCCGCGTTCATTGTTTACCCTAAACAGTGAAACGTGGGTTTTAAAACCGCACGCAAAACGTTTTAACCAAAAACTAAGGCGGCGTTTTCCAAAACGCCGCCACACTTTAAGCTGCCCCAAACGGGGCCTAAATGTCAACCATGTGATTATCTGGTTAGGAGAGTAGATGTTTAGATTCAACTTATGTTAAGAAAGTTAAAGGTAGACCAAAATAAACTTGGGCATATTATATAAAAAAATGATCTTAATCTATTAGAATTAAATGAAAATATGAAACTCAATAGGACATAATGGAGAAAAAAGGAATCATGGAGTCGACCCCACTTAGTGGGATATAAACTTATTGTTGTTGTCATTGTTGAAGAGGATACAAATACTAATTACATGAATTCTAAAATAGGAAAGAAATAACAACCATGTCTCTAGATATACAATTAATCAATTCCTAGTAACTACCCAGAGATAAAAGAGAATTTATAAAATAGGAAATACCTAAAATAGGAAATAACTGGAAAAGAAATAAATTAATACTAATAACTTCTAACAATAACCACTAGGGAAGCTACAGATGGACCGTACTATAACTTTGGAAAGAATGTTCTTCAAAATAGTTTTTTCTCCAGCTCTAATTTTTCAAAGAAAATTTTGATTTGTGAAAAATACCCTTAGGAATCTCCCACCTCAACATTCATGACAGATGATAAAATTTTTTAGATGACGCATTATAACTAACACTAAATCATTTATAGGATATATTGCATAAAAACACAATTGAATATTTAAAATTAGAAGCATACCACATTAATCCCGAAAAATGTTAAGAAAATATATGAACAATATCAAATATGATCAATATAAAGAAGACAACTTAAAATTTCTTATTTTGATGTTCATTTCAAACTTTCAATAAAAAAAGGAAGACAAAAATGTTTAAAATCATACAAAACCTAAAAAATGTAAATGATGGAGATGAATCGATGAGCAATGAGGAGTTCTAAGAAAAATAGTTCAATAAGAAGTAATAAAATAGAAAGATAAGCAAATTCATATAAGATTTAAAAATAAATACACCTATATGGTAAAAAGAATGAATTGTTGCATGTGTTTGGAGCACTTCTATGCTTAATGTGCAAATGCACCATTGACCATTTTTAAAACTCTATTGTGTTCCACACAGAGCTTTTGAATAAAGCAAGGAACCTCACTTTGAATGTACAGTTACTAACACTATCACAGCCTTGTTCTCAAGCTAGGGAAAAAAGGCAAGAGATCATGTCAATCTCAAGTATCGTAAAAAGAAACCAAATTATAGTTTCTATTTTATTTATGATAAATGTAAATGATAATTTCACATAAGTTAACACTTAAAAAATTGGGGAAAAAATAGATTTTTGCCTAGTAATTGGTGAGGAACAAGTCAAGTAGACAACACAACCAAAAGTCTACTATTAAAAAAAGAAGGGCAAAGGGTAAGAGTCCCAAGTGAATGTAACAAGTACAATATGTGGGATTTTAAGATGGGTAGACATCGAGGCTAATTAGGATCAAACATTAGAAATTCTTCTCGCTTCTATCCCACATACACTTACATGTTTGTCAATATTTGATCATTAATAGTACATCACCGTCACAAAATTTATTTGACATGTGAATAAAAAAATTCTTAAGAACTTATGACAATGTTATGTTAATTGCCCTAAGAAACATTAGATTTCCACCCCATCAAAGATTTAACAACATCTTATTATTGATCAAGCATTTAACTAAGAATTAACACAAACCATTCTCGTTCTTTTAGCTAATATCAAAGTGTTGTAGCTAGGAGTTAACACATGAACCGCTAAGGAGAAGAACAAAAAATTGCAGCAACAAAACAAGCTAGCAAGCATCTGAAGCATAAAAAAACAAAAAAAGATAAATATGACTTTATGGTGCAGAGTTTTCACAGTTGTGTTTATACATAAACAAATTTCATACACAAGCCGTGCAAGAACTTAAAAGACAGCCTCCAACATATTAAGACTTCAAGCTTAAAACAACAGATAAATACATAGAAAGCATGGGGCGAGTATGCTTCAAACTGCAATATAAAATTACAATCAAATCCAAGATAAAGCTACAGCATTATGTTTTCCATATAACAAGGAACGCATTCTTGATCTGTTTTAGGACAAAATCATACAAATATTAGCTTGACACCTAATTGGAAGAATAGCTTTAAGGCGAGCCTATTAATTTCCTACAATGATCTAATTGGTTCCAAAACTCAATCTGAAAACCTAGAATCAATAATTTGTACCCAGAAAAATAACTTTATCAAGGAATACAGTTAAGCTGATTTCAGTTTTATACTAAGAGGATATAGCAACAACAAAGACTTAATCCCACTACGTGTGGTCGGCTACATGAATCATTTTTCTCCATTGTGTCCTATTTAGTTTCATATTTTCATTTTATTCTAATAAATTAAGATCATTTTTTTATACAATAAGCCCAAGTCTTCCTAAGTCTACATCTGTCTTTCTTAACATAAATCGAATCTAAACATCTACTCTCCTAATCGGATCATCAGATTGTCGACGCTTAATGTGACTAAACCATCTAAGACGACTTTCTCTAATTTTGTTCGTCACAGGAGCTACACCAACCCTATCACGGATATAATCATTTCGCATTTTGTCTT